CCTTTAATGTCACGTGACATGATTATCTGATGATGTCGTCATCACGTAAGGTGTCTATAACACTCCCCTTTAGAAACACCAAAACATGCAAGTTTCAACTCAATGGGACATGTACTTCAGAAGATATAATACTTTAAAGGATGCACCTTTAAATATCAGGTGATTTGTCACTTAATGACGTCATCATCAGATGAGGTCAATGTTTGCTTAAAGCACTTGCTTTTCAAGATATCTGCAAGGTTTGAACCCAATTGGACATATACTTCAGGAGATATAGTTCTTGAAAGTATGCAACTTTAATGTCACGAAACTTATTGTTCGATGACATATCATCACTAAATGAGGTCAATATTTGCCCGAAGCACTTTCTTTCCAAGATATAGGCAAGTTTTCAACCCAGCAGTGACACCAACGGACTAATTCTATAGGAAAAACTTAATACTATTACCACTTTTAAACAATAAGCCTACTTCCAGTTTCAGCCGGAAAGAAGGATCATGTGATTTGACCCACACAAGCTGAATTGAAGGCAGAATGTATACTCTGGCACTTGGCCCAAAAACTGTTGCGGGAAACCATGGTTTATTTTACATGGATGTTTAAATTTTAACAGAATATTTAAATATTCAACATTTAATAATAAGTGATATGATGACGTCATCAGGACGTCATTTATTTACAATAATTGTTGCATCAGGGTCTTTGTTGGCTGTCACTTTGATAACGAACAAACATCGCCAAGGTTTCAAAATCGTGGTTTGAAAACGTTGCAAAGACAACGGGCCATAAACTCGTTTGCAAAAACACAGTTCCTTTAATTTAAGTTCATGTCACGTTTTTTACGCTTAAACTGAACAATTTTTTCTGAAATATTACTTCTTATTCAGACTCTTAAGCATATTTCAAATCAAATAAAACTCTGTAAGGTATCCGATTTCTCTTTCGTTCTTATAGTAATCTTGAGCCGAAGTAAAGGACTATTCGTTCACCTGTGTTGATTAGAAAAACGTGTTCAAAACATACGGGGCAAAATAAAATATTCAAAATCAATACAAAATAAGGTGTAGACGTCATCATGACATCATTCATTTTCAATAAATCTTGCATCAGGGTCTTTATTTCGAATCAAATAAATAACACAGCGTCAAGTACCCGATTTCTCTTTCGTTCTTAAAGTAATCTTGAGCCGAAAGAAAAGAGTACTCGGTTACTAATGATAAGTTGAAAAACGTTTAGAAAACCTATGGGGAAAATTATATCTTCAAAAATCAATGTAAAATAAGGCGATGCCGTCATCATGACTAAACTAGGCTTATATTTTGCATTATGGTCTTTGCCGGCTGTTACTTTGATGATGAATGAAGATCGCCAAGTAACAAAAGTTGTGCTTTGAAAACGTGTACAAAGTCAACGGGCTAAAATAAATATGTAAAGATCGTTATAAATCACTTGAGGACGTCAGCACGACGTATTTATGTTACGTATTATTTTTGCCTTAAGGGCTGTGCTTGGTGTAACCTTGATGATGATCAAAGATAATCAAGTTACCAAAGCAAAGCCTTGAAAACGTTTGCAAAGTCAATGGGCTGAAATAAATATTAAAAATTCAATTAAAAAAAAAATCAG